GAGTAAATAATGCACGCACCTGGCCAATATTATCGAAGCCAAGTGTCTCGGCGATAGAAGCAGCAGCCTCCGGTCCAGCGGGTATATAAACAGCAAATTCATTGCTGTAAACTGGTGCACGTCGTTGCCTGGTAGCAGCGGCTGGTCCAACATTGCTCGCCATACCACCAACAATGTCAAAGACCAACACAAGCACCAGCCCTAACAACACTTTGGGACTCATTGTGCCACTAAAATTCTCCCCCGTATTCCACTCGCAACAACACAAACGCCCCACTTTTATTCACTTAAGCCTGATTTTTTTCTTATATCCACGTTTTCTTCAATTCAAGACCCCTTGGGAAATAGTTGAACAAGGATTCTTCACTCTCTGTATTGGTGCTTTTGACTTCCCTCTTTGGCTCTGGCGATGCGAACAGAGTTGAATCGCCCGAGCGTGACTGGACTCAACACACGGACCAAGACAGAGTCGTCCAACCGGAAGTCAACTTACGTAACCGTTCGTTGTAATTTTATTTTTTATTTATTTTGTTGGACTTTTTTTTTTCTATTTTATTTTTCAACTTCACGCGGACTCTCACTCGGATATCGTCGGATATTCTGTCAAGTCATTCGGTTATTTATTTTTATTTATTTTCTCTTCTTCAGGTGATGCGATGTTACACTGCGGAATTTTCACGGCGGTCTATTGATTTTATCTGAAACAGAAATCAAAGGCGGATTTTAATATACCAGAAGCAAGTTTTTTCGTTGAATGTATGGATTTTATTGCATTTTATTCCAAATTTTCATTCCATTTTATTAAAGATAAAAAATTGTGTTTTCCACTACATCAGTGTAGATTTGTTTACATAAATAAAAAGAAATAATTTCAATAATAATATTTTCCTTTGGAAATAATTTTATTTCTCTTCTGATCAGAACTGACATTTCTGCGTTAATTAGAAAAACCACAATTAGTTTTCAAAATAATCGATGAGTTCTTTTTTAGAAAGTTGATGTCTAATTAATAACTACCAATTGAATCCGAACTAATCGAAAATGGTAAAATCATTAACGTGAAACTCAATATTTCCACTTTTCTTTCCTCAAGTTGCCATCGAAAAAACAATGTTGCAGAATGAAAAACTCAAAATGATTTGTCCCTCGTGGTCCGATGTACCAAGGATTTGCTCCAAAAAGACTGATTGTCTCTTAAAATGTATCTCAACAATTCCTACAATTTTTCAACGGACACATTCCAGACGTTTCTCGTTGGCAAGTTTTTGACAAAGGAGAATGGGATGAAAGAAAAATAAGGGAAAAAGAAAAATAAAAAGGTGGGTGACGAAAAAAAAAAGGTGTAAGAGCGGGTAAAAAGAGTCTCGGGGATATCCTATCGCGTGTCCGACAGCAATTCCAATCAAACTTTAAATCGAGCATTATTCATACCTCCCGCCGCGCGTTCTTTTCCGACTTCTTTTTCCTCTTTTCCATGCGGTCCTTACATTTCACTCCCGGGCAATATTCCCTCTCGGTGTGTGCTGACCTAATATAAAATTCCCGGAGTTAAGTCCGCGCGTCTTGGGTCGATTGTGGGAGTAGAGTGGGATGAAAATCAAAAGAAGAATATTCGGGAAAAAGATCGATCCTACAAAAATACAGTGTAGAAAAGCTGAGAGTTTGAATAAAAGTCAAGAGCCAAGTTTCGACCTCTGGCACATGGGGTGAGACTGAAGATGGGGTGCGAGAGGGAATGTGCATGAACCCAATGGAGAAACTTCAAATCGTCCGCGAGAAACCGATCGACCGAACATCACCACGAATTCACTGCTATTTCATCCCTTTATTTTTCTTCTTTCCACTTTTTCTCAAGTTCTTTCTCCCGATTTTTTCTTTGTACGGGCAGAAATATTCAGTAAAAATTACGCAAGTCACAAGATTTCCAATTT